TTAAAGGCTTTGCCACATTCTTCACATTTGTAGGGTTTCTCCCCAGAATGAATTCTTTTATGTTTAGAAAAGCCTGAGGAATCCTTAAAGGCTTTGCCACATTCTTCACATTTGTAGGGTTTGTCTCCAGAATGAATTCTTCTATGTTTAGAAAAGTCTGAGGAATTGTTCAAGGATTTGCCGCATTCTTCACATTTGTAGGGTTTCTCTCCAGAATGAATTCTTTTATGTCCAGAAAGGTGTGAGGAAAGGTTAAAGGCTTTTCCACATTCTTCACATTTGTAGGGTTTCTCTCCTGAATGAATTCTTTTATGTCTAGAAAAGCCTGAGGAATCATTAAAGGCTTTGCCACATTCTTCACATTTGTAGGGTTTCTCTCCAGAATGAATTCTTTTATGTACAGAAAGATTTGAGTAACTGTTAAAGGCTTTGCCACATTCTTTACATTTGTAGGGTTTCTCCCCAGAATGAATTCTTTTATGTACAGAAAGGTTGGAGGACTGGTTAAAGGCTTTTCCACATTTTTGACATTTGTAGGGTTTCTCTCCAGAATGAATTCTTTTATGTTTAGAAAAGCCTGAGGAATTGTTAAAGGCTTTGCCACATTCTTCACATTTGTAGGGTTTCTTTACATTAGAAATTGTCTTACAGTTAGCAAATTTTGAGTTGAGGCTAAGACACTTCTCATCATTCTCACAATGGGAGATTTTCTCTGCAGTATGAAGTCCCCTGTGCTTAGACAGTCTCGAGCGAGATTTAAAGACTTTGCAACATCCTTTACACTTATACTGCTTTTCCACAAAATGGGTTATCTCATGTTTACCAAAGTTTGAGCATACTTTTAAGGCTTTCCCATATTTTTTACACTCAAAAGTTATCTCCCTGGTATACATCATCTTATGTCTATTTACATTTGATAATTTTCTGACAACTCTGAAACCTTTACTGCATTGGTAGATTTTACCATGCATAGCTGTTAAACTTTCATCTAGTCCATTGTAACATACTTTCTGTTGCTCATACACTCTATCCCAGTCTTTTATTGAGTTTAAATTCTCAGGGCTATCATTTTCATATCTTCTGAGGATTATCTCTGGTAATAAAATATTCACTCCCAGCACTTGTGAATTGCTCTGGGTAGAATGATTCGATATAACTGAAAGAAATTTAAAAATACAAAATTATGCCATTGAGTTTCATCACAATTGAATAAATATACATTACAAATTTTATCTTTAAAATTATGCCAAGCACAGTAGCAAGATGACATAGTACAGCACACATGCCCTAATAATTCTTGAGATACATATAAGTAAGAAATATATACTGCATTTTATTATAAAAGCAAGTGAGAATTTTCAGCCCACCAGGCGAGCACAATGTGAAGAAGCATATACAGGCCAGGTGCAGTAGTTCATGTTTGTAAACTTAGCACTCTGGGAGAGTGAGTGGAATGCTTCAGCTCAGGCATTTGAGAGCAGTCTGAGCCAGAGTGTAACCCTGTTTATACCAAAAATAGAAAAAATTAGTGGGGCATGTGGCAGACACCTGCTGTCACAGCAACTCAGGAAGCTGAGACGAGAGTATTGAGCCCAGGAGGTTGAAGTTGCTATTAACTATAATACTACTGCACTCTATCTGTGATGAAAGACACCCTGTCTCAAAAATATATAAGTATATAAAATAAGAAAAAAAATGATAATGACAAAAGGTATAAAATATGGGAAGAAAAGTTTATTCTACTTATAGACCCCAGACATTCCCCCATCTGAAAAAAGCATTGTCCATATGAAAGTAAACTTTTTCCTCAAAAGAAAAACAGAGATTTGCATAAACTCTACTAGATTTTCAGGGCTCCTTTTTTTCTTTTTTTTTGAGATAGAGCCTCAAGCTGTCGCCCTGGGTAGAGGGCCATGGCATCACAGTTCACAGCAACCTCCAACTCCTGGGCTCAAGTGATTCTCCTGCCTCCACCTCCCAAGTAGCTCAGACTATAGGTGCCCACCACACTGCCTGGCTATTGTTTGTTGCAGCCATCATTGTTGTTTGGCGGGCCCAGACTGGATGGGAACCCACCAGCTCAGGTGTATGTAGCTGGTGCCTTAGCCACTTGAGCCACAGGCACCAAGCTTTCAGGGCTTTTCTAAAGCTAGTTTATATCTCTCATGAGGGAGAATGCTGATGGGAATGATGCTATAGTTTATAAAACTGACTGCGGAAGCTGAAATCAAAGGTAAAATATTGTAGCTCCATGCTGTCACTCAAGTGGCTAAGGCGCCAGCCATATACACCTGAGCTGGTGAGTTCGAATCCAGCTCGGCCCACCAAACAACAACTATGGCTACAACCAAAAATAGCTGGGCATTGTGGCGGGCGCCTGTTGTCCCAGCTACTTGGGAAGCAGAGGCCAGAGAATTGCTTGAGCCCAGGAATTGGAGGTTACTGTGAGTGTGAGCTGTAATGCCATAGTACTCTACCCAGGGCAACAGCTTGAGGTTCTGTCTCAAAAAGAAAAAAAAAGGTAAAATATTGTTACAGTACCAGAGAGACTGCAAGACAACAGACAGATTCAGGTCCAGCAAGTGATTACAAGCTCTTAGGAGGAAATACAGGGAAAATGCTTCAACTAGAAAATATCCACAAAATTTCAGAGGCAAAACACTTTCAGAATGTACACTGAACTGCCTCAAATCTTTTGTATAATTTGTGTCAGAGTCCTGTAAGATAAAGCCACATCATGGATTCTGTGAAAGCTGCCTTATGTGCCTCAGCACCCATAGCACAGTGGTTACAGCACCAGCCACAGACACTGAGGCTGGCGGGTTCAAACCCAACCAGGGCACTGTGGTGGGCACCTGTAGTCCCAGCTACTTGGGAGGCTGAGGCGAGAGAATCACTTAAGCCTGAGAGTGTCTGAGGTTGCTGTGAGTTGTGATGCCATGGCACTCTACTGGGGGTGACTCTACCGATAGTAAGACTCTGCTTCAAAAAAACTAAAGAAAGGTACCTTTTGCAATTCTCAAAAATCAATGAAAGATTACAACATGTAAAAATTAATGCGGTGATATAACCCAAAGAAACAAAATGAACAATGTAGAATCAACCCTAACAAATAGAGATGTTGGGGTGGTGCCTGTGGCTGAAAGGAGTAGGGTGCCAGTCCCATGTGCTGGAGGTGGCAGGTTCAAACCCAGAACTGGCCAAAAACTGCAATAAAATAAAATAAAATAAAAATAGAGATGTCTAAATTACCTGAGAGTTTTGTTGGCAAATGGGTGAAATGGGAATGATACAAACAACTAAGTAAAATCATGAAAATGGAGATATCAACAAAAAAGAAAAGCTTTAAAAAAAGAGAAATTCCTAAGTTGAAGAACACGGAAAAGATTGAGAAATTTTCAAAGGTAAGAAAAAAATACAGAACATCAAACTCACCACACTTCAGCTAGGAGAAACACAAAGAGACCCATAAAAAGACACATGAAGAACAAAGACTTGAAAACCACACAAGAGTATCCTGAAAGCCACTAAAGGAAACAGATGTGTCATCTCTAAGCATGCTCTTCTGAGATTACTAATGGTTTTTCGACACACACCTTCCATATCAAAAGACAGCTGGATGATATAGTCAAAGTGCAGAAAGAACAAAAAACTCAAAACACATATACTATATCCAGCAAAACATCCCTTCAAAATAAAGAAAAAAATAGACATTTACCAAGATAAATGAATGCTGAAAACTGCCAAATAAGAAATGTCAAAGGGGGCGGTGCCTGTGGCTCAGTGAGTAGGGCGCCATTCCCATATACTTAGGGTGGTGGGTTCAAACCCAGCCCTGGCTAAACTGCAACAAAAAAACAGGTGGGTGTTTTGGTGGGGGCCTGTAGCCCCACCTCCTCGGAAGGCTGAGACAAGAGAATCGCCTAAGCCCAAGAGCTGGAGGTTACCGTGAGCTGTGACACAACAGCCCCTTACCAAGGGTGACAAACTAAGACTCTGCCTCTAAAAAAAAAAAGTAATAATTTTGGCATTCAATGGAAGTTAGCTTGATATGAGTCTGAATAATATTAATAATATTGTTATATTTTTAAGAAATTTTTATAATTTCCATTCTTCAAGTTGTTCAGAAAAGAAAATATCTATAGAATTCATGTGAAGTAAACTAAGAAAGCAATTAGACTAACTAATTATGAAAATCAATAAAACAGAAATGAAGGTAGCAAGAGAAGAAATGAGGAGAAAATATCTAGAAGAAATAAAGTAATAATAACTTTAACTCATTTATATTTAACATAATTAGCTCATTAATCTAAAAAGATTATATGGCTGAATAGACTTATAACAAATGAGTTTCTACAATATTAGGTCTAGAGAAAACTCCTTATAGCTTTATGGACTCAAATAGGCTCAAAGTAAAAAGACAAAAAATCTGTATGTCAAGCAAATAGGAACTCAAAGTGGGTGAAGTAGCTATAATTATATGGGACAATATACACTTGTAGCCTAAGCAGCCAAGAGAAAAATGTAGTAGTAATAGAATAGGCCCTTTTACAAAGAATTTTCAATATCTTACACATATACTCACAAACCTCCTTTAGGTATATTACATATCTTGTATAATATAAACATGTATGTACAACATCATTGATTTCAAACGTAAGAAATAGATCATGGCAAAAAGAAAGAGCCATGTGGTCATTTTTAATTTAAGACCTTAGTTTGTTTTTCTCTTTTTCAAAATTTCAGATTAATATGAGGGTACGAACAATTAGATTACAGGCTGGGCACGGTAGCTCACGCCTATAATCATACCACTCTGGGAGGGTGGACAGCTTGAGCTCATGAGTTCGAGAGCAGCCTGAGCAGAGCAAGACCCCCATCTGTAATAAAAATAGAATAACTGGGGCAAGAGAATCACTTGAGCCCAAGAGTTGGAGGTTGCTGTGGCCTAAGAAACCATGCCACTTTACCCAGAGCAACAGCTTGAGATTCTGTCTCAAAAAAAAAAAAAAAAAAAAAATTAGGTTACAATGTCTGCATTTCTTAGGTAAAGTCCCCCTTATACTTGTGTCCCTTACCCAGGAGGTGTGCCAGATACCCTTACATAAGACACCATTTTTAATAATGAATTAAAAGATTAGTAAAAGATTAATAAAATAACAGAAAACTGAACATTGTGTATTACTTAGACCTAACAAACATGACAGAACTTGCTAGTCAAAAGTAGCAAAAGAAGGCTGGCCACGGTGTCTCAGGGCTGTAATCCTAGAACTATTGAAGGATGAGGCTGGAGGACTGCTTCAAGCCAGGAGTTTGTGAAGAGCCTGAGCAAGAGTGAGACCTCCTCTCTAAAAAGTAGCTGGGTGTTGTGGCAGGCGCTTGTAGTCCCAGGTACTTGGGAGGTTGAGACAAGATATTCGCTTCAGCCCAGAAGTTTCAGGTTGCTGTGAACTATGATGACAAGCACTCCAAGAAGGGCAACTGTGAGACATTGTCTCAAAAAAAAGAAAGGGCAGCGCCTGTGGCTCACTGAGTAGGGAGCTGGCCCCAAATACCAAGGGTGGTGGGTTTGAACCTGGCCCTGGCCAAACTGCAACAACAACAAAAAATAGCCAGGTGTTGTGCCAGGCACCAATAGTCACAGCTACTCAAGAGGCTGAGGCAAGAGAATCGCCTAAGCCCAAGAGCAGGAGGTTGATGCCATAGCACTCCACCACAGGTGACAAAGTGAGACTCTTCTTTTCTTTATTTTTTAAATGACAAAGAAAAAGTAACAAAGGATTGAACTGACATTTCTCAAAGAAGATATATATCTCCAACAAGCATTAGAAAGGGTGATCAAAATTTGTAACTACTGAAGAAATGGAAAGCAAAAATCACAATTCATATATGTATGAAATATAATACATCATACTCAGAATGAACACTAAAAAAATTCTCTCTCTGAGAACTGTTTTTTATGGGGGGGAGGGAAGTCTCACTATGTTGCCCTTGGTAGAGTACTGTGGCATCACAGCTCACAGCAACCTCCAACTCTTGGGCTTCAGGGATTCTCTTGTCTCACCTCCCAAGTAGCTAGAACTACAGGTGCCCACCACAATGCCCGGCTACTTTTTGTTGTAGTTGTTGTTGTATAGGTGGCCTGGGCTGGGTTCGAACCCACCACCCTTTGTGTGTGTGTGTGGCCAGCACCATAACCACTGGACTATGGGCACCAAGCCCCACTGAGAATTCTGAAGTGATTATGTGGGCATCTCCAACGTGTCCCAGCCATAATCTGGGACTAGTCCGACCCATCCAGAGACCTGAAGGAGATGCTCATCACTCATGACAATAGAGACAGGTCTGAAAACCTTGGTACTTTTTGTGTGTGTGTGTATATGTTGATATATCTATTTTTCTGTATATATACATATACAGAGACACTAGAAACTTCAATTGACCACCTCCCTAAGTTCACCTAATGTACACAGAGTCGGCATGCACCACATGTACGTATCAGTACACTAGGCAAAGTTCTTTATGCTAACCACCTATGTGTGTTGACAAGATTTTTATAATCCCTTCAGTGGTCAGCTTACCAAGGTCTACTGTGTTTCTCTGTATGTGTGCATACTACAGTCCTGATAAGCATAACCTAAGCAAGAGATAGTTATAAAATAGGGTTATTTATGACAGGTATAGTGGCCCATATCTGTAATCTTAATCACTTTAGGAGGCCAAGGCAGGTAGATCACTTGAGCTCAGACGTTGGAGACCAGCCTGAGAAAGATCAAGACTCCTTTTCTACTAAAAATAGAAAAACTAGCCAGGCACTGTGGCAGGTATCTCTAATCCCACCTACTGGGGAGGCTGAAAAGAGAGGATCACTTGTACCCAAGAGTTTGACGTTGCTGCGATCTATAAAACCTCTGAACTCAACCCTAGGGTGATAGAGTGAGAAAATGTCTCAGACATTTTTAAGAGTGATTCTGTAAAAAGAGAAAATTTAATATATGCTTGGGAATACTGTGGCCCCCCAATGACACAGGATATGTAAGAAATGTACGGAGTAGATACCTTTAACTATATTAAAGTTGAGAAATTAGGGCTTAGTACCTGTAGGTCAAGCAGCTAAGGCTCCAGCCACATACACCAGAGCTGGCTGGTTCCAATCCAGCCTGGGCCTGCCAAACAACAATGACAACTACCACCAAAAAATAGCCAGGCTTGTGGTGGGTGCCTTTAGTGCCAGCTACTTGAGAGGGTGAGGCAATCTCCCAAAATTGGAGATTACTGTGAGCTATAATATCACGGCACTCCACCCAGGGCAATAGCCTTAGGTTCTGTTTCAAAAAAAAAAAAAAAGTTGAGAAATTGGGCTCAGTGCCTATAGCTCAGTAGCTCAGGTGCTAGGATGCCAACCACATACAGTGGAGCTGTCAGGTTCGAATACTGCCCTGGCCTGCCAAACAACAATTACAACTACCATCTAAAAATAGCTGGGTAGGGCAGTGCCTGTTGCTCAGTGAGTAGGGCACTGGCCCCATATACTGAGGGTGGCGTGGTCAAACCCGGCCCCGGCCAAACTGCAACAAAAAAAACAGCCAGGCATTGTGGCAGGGACTGTAGTCCTGCTACTTGGGAGGCTGAGCCAAGAAAATCGCCTAAGCCCAGGAATTGGAGGTTGCTGTGAGCTCTGTGACACCATGGCACTCTACCAAAGGCAATAAAGTAAGAACGTGTCTCTAAAAAAGAAAAAATAGACAGGTGATGTGGCAGGTGCCTGTAGTCCCAGCTACTTGGGTCGCTGAGGAAAGAAAATCCCTTAAGCCCAAGAGATTAAGGTTGCTGTGAGCTATGATGCTACAGCACTCTACCAAGGGCAACAGCTTGACACTGTGTCTCAGAAAATAAAATAAAGTTGAGAAATTAGAGCATATAGAAATCAAACTATCACAGTTCATATAAAGACAATGTTGAAGTTAAATAACATGAGCTTTTGTGTATATTTGGGGAAAGATTCTTAAGTGTTCTGATAAAATTTACTGACTGTACTTTGTGCAGAACCTTATTTGAATCCTTCATTGGATCAAAAACTATAAAGCAGAAGACATATGCCATCTATCTGAAGTGTCCTGAGATGCTTGACCCAAATACTAGTATTAACTGCTCACTCTGACATTTTGAACAGGACACTAAGGCAGCAGTTCTCAACCTGTGGGTCGTGACCCCTTTTTAACAATGAAAATAAATCGCCGCATTAGGAAGGTTGAGAACCACTGTGCTAAAGAAAAAAGAAATTGTTTTGAGGCAGTTTCATTCTCTTGCCCAGATTAAAGTGCCATAGCATCATCTTAACTCACAACAACATCAAACTCCTAGTCTGAAGTAATCCTTCTGCCTCAGCCCCCCAAGCAGCTGAGATTACAGGCAACCACCACACTGCCCAGCTATTGTTTTTTATGTTTAATAGTGAAAGGATCTCACTCTTGTTCAGGCTTGCCTTATACTCTTGAATTCAAATGATCATCCTACCTCATCCGCCAAGAGTGCTAGGACTGTAGAAGTGAGCCATCATGCCTGCTTAAAGAAAAAAAAAATTATTTTTTTGAGACAGAGCCTCAAGCTGTCACCCTGGATAGATTGCCAAGGCATCACAGTTCACAGTAACCTTCAACACTGGGCTCAAGGGATTCTCCTGCCTCTGCCTCCCAAGTATCTGGGACTATAGGTGCCCACCACGACACCTGGCTATTTTTTGGTTGTAGTTACCTTTATTGTTTGGCAGGCCTGGGCTAGATTTGAACCTGCTAGCTCTGGTATATGTGGCTGGCGCCTTAGCTGCTTGAGCCACAGGCACCAAGCCTAAAGAAAGTTTCTTTAAATGTTTCAGAGATCCTCAAAAATATACAAATATTTTTATATTCTGAAAATCAATCAAACAGCAGTCAGAGTTTGCAGTCCTGTATAAGCCATAGAA